TCTTCAGAAAGTGAAAATTAGCTTCTCATGAGGAAACTAAGTTCAGGCATTAGAAGGAGAAATATTTTTGGTTTTCCTTGGGAGTTTAAATGTTGGTCAAATCCAAGGGCTTCATTATGATGTGATCCTTTAAGAGATGTTTGACTTTGCTTTGGTCCTTTGTCAAACAGCTCTTCTCTAAGTAGTTGCTGGCTCTGAAGCAACAAAAAGAGCACAAAAAGAGCACATGTTACCGTCAACGCTCAACTTGTACTTCCAGCAAGGAAAGTCAGAGCACTGCTGGCCATCAAGGTTAGACTGGAAGTGGCAACCCTGGACTCCCATTAATCTTTTGCCAATTGCTTTGGGATTGAGAAGAAATCTCACAATCTGGCATGATTTGGATGGTTTACAGCAGCCATATGTAAAAGCTGCAGCCTGTGGTAGCTTTACTGCTTTTTAGCTGGTGGGGATCTCAAAAGAAATCTTTTAAATAGACTCCAGTGTGTATAATTAAGATAATTCCTTAAGTATTTTTATCTATCATTAAGATAATACTAATGACATGAGTGTATTTACTTTTAATAAGTTGGAAAACAGCAAGAATGGACATTACCTTGTAAAGGACCTTGTAACTTTTTCCAGTGCTCTCCTTCCCATGCTCAGTCTGACACTGAGCATGCCTTCACGCACTGAGCAGACATTTCACGCCTGTCTTTGTAATCTTGGGGGTAGGCAGTAAAATCCCCACTGATGGCGACTGTGCAGCTGTACAAATGCACAAGAACTCTGTAACTGAGCTTTTTTTTAAACAAGAGAAGTCTATTTTACTCAGTTTTGTTAAAGGAAGGGTTGAAGCACGGAGTTACAGGATAAAGTCTCACTGCTCACCAATCGCAGGATGCTGGGACCTCATGAGCTTCTCCTACGCACCCTTTCTGCGCTCAGCCCGAGCTGCTGTATACCTGTCTCTTTGGGGATAGCTGGGAAAATCCCCACTAAGAATATACTGCGGAGGTGCAGTGTACGTCCTCTTCCAACTTTATACTGCCTGTTCTGGTGTGTTGTGGTACAAAGCTCCACGATTGTGTGGCACCATCTGCACTTAGCATAAGGAGGAAATAAGACCCAGAATTTTTTTTACCAGAGCTTATAAAGATCGGGCAGGATGGACAGCTGAATTTTGCAATGAGAAAATTTGTTCATCATGTCCTAATTTTCCACTGGAAAGTAAGGAAAATAGTTTAAATTACTTGCTATTTATTTATTTGTGTTTTGTGTGGCATTAAGGTTCCATTACGCTATGCATTGCACTAGTGCAAAATAGTTCTCAACTCAGTAAAACAGGAGAGAAGAGGGAAATACAAAAAATATCTGTAACTGTGACATGTAGCTGTGAACAGTCACGGTTCCTGTGATAGTCTTCCTTCATAACCTCCAAAGGCCTGTTTCTATTCTGAAACACAACAACCATTTAATTAACGATTGGTTTGGACACAGTTGAGGATAGGTGCTATTTACAGAAACAGAGTATGTTGGCGATGTGTTTTTATTTTTCTGTCACCTTTCCCTTGTCGTATGGATTAGGTTCTGACTGATTTGCTGAAAAATCAGTCGGAACCAGTTTAAAGGCAGACCATGGCTGTGTTTTGCCTCAAAAACTGTAATGCAAATTTTGTGGCAATTCAGGTGTTGATTCGTGAATCCTTTGGTCATCGGTGGAGCTGGGACAGACCGGGCAGCTGCTTGCAGTAAACATGGCCATCCCATGCTAAGTCTTCTGATAGATCAGGGGCTTTAGCCCATGAGGTTTTGGGAACAGGGTCTGTGTGCCTCTCTGAACAACTCTGTGGCCTGTCCTACATAAGCTCTGCATGCATTTGTGTCAAGTGTCTGGCAAGGAGGCAGAAATTATTATGGGTTCCTCTTTTATATCCGTACCTCCTGCTGTGAAAGACTTTGAAACATCAAGGTAGTAAGAACAGTTTTGCACCTCTGCACGTAAGCACTAGCAAATCTATGGTGAAGAGCTGTAGATGAGAGTGATGTCCAGAAATGCTGTGGTCCCTGGGTTTTTGGTACTTGTGGGTATCCAGCACCACTGATACCGGAGCCCAGAGTTTAAACCCAAGGTCTGAAATGTTGGCCAGAGCGGGTGTATGCGAGAACTGGGTTCGCCTTGGAAGGCAGTGCAGCAGGAGGCATGGCCAAGGGTAGCATTACTGCAGGAACCTGGGCGGGGAAGGCCTCCATGCTGCGAAATGAGCCGCTGCCTCCTGCAAAAGGGATGCAGTTATGGTCTGTGACAGGAGTGGGGGGTGACTGCAGCTGGGCTTGGGGCCGCCGGGGAGCTCCAGGGGGGAGAGGACTCACCAGTGTCCCCAGGGGACAGCCATGAAGGCTCTCCTCAGGAGGACGGGCACCAGTTTTTGATCTCTAAACACTGAGGCCAAACCGCCCCGGACGCCTGCCCAACGCCTGAGGATGGCCAGCGGCCAGCCAGCGGCCAGCATTG